CATATCCAAATGTTGAGCGAACAGAATCGAATACCTAGCCAGTCAAAGTATATACAATTCTTTTCACCCTTATCAAAATTTCTTGAAACACAGCACGGTTTTCGAGTTTTTCTTTTTGGATGTTTTGAGAACACGATAGACTTTGAAATTATTTTGTCTTATATAGCGTCGAACAAAAAACCTTTTGCAGTTCTCCTCTTTGGGTTTCTTACAACCACAACGTCGCTAACTGTTCCTTTTATCGTTTTACTGAGCTTATACCCATCCTTCTTTAATTCTAGCACGAATATTAGTTATTTTTTACATAATATTTCTACATCTCATTTTTCGATCTATTTTTTCAAGACACAATGATTTACCTTGGCGTGTTCGTGAAAATTTTCAAAATAATATCAATAATCTTGATTTGTACAATATGACGCAATACAACGTAAGTAATACTACACCATCACATACAGATATAATACGTCTACGACAAGGACAAGTTGGAGGGCAGGTTTGTTTCAAGCTTTTCTTTTCATATATCATCCAAATCAGAAAATTCAAAAATTGATAATAGTTTTGGTCAATTTATACGGATTGTGCACATCAAGGGAAGGATGCATCAATAAGTTTTTTAGAACAAATTGATGTTATGAATCGAATTATAGCTAAATATCCAGATGTATTTCAAATGGCTACAACAGCTGAAGAAGTTCGACAAGCGTTTTCTACTAAGCGTATAGCAAGCTTATTTGGTGTTGAAGGTGGACAAGCTATTGAAAGTTCATTTTCTATTCTGAGACTTTTCTATCAAATGGGTGTACGATACATGACATTAACACATAATTGTAATATTCCATGGTAAACAAACAAAGCAAAACATTTAAAACTTTTTTAAACTGATTAATGAATTCGAACTTCTGTGTTTTTTTCAATTAAGGGCTGATCAAAATCAAGTCGATCGAATTAATTCAACATTAATAAAAAATAATGGTCTAACAGATTTTGGTAGAAAAATTATAGCAGAAATGAATCGACTAGGAATGTTAGTCGATCTATCACATGTTTCAAAGCAAACAATGATTGATGTACTTAACATTACTCAATCACCAGTCATATTTAGTCATTCATCAGCTTATGCATTATGTAATCATACACGAAATGTTCAAGATGATGTACTTGAATTAATCGTAAGTTTTGATTTCAATTTAAAATACAAACACAAATAGATCCATAATGTGTTTTATAGAAAAAAAATCAAGGTATAGTTATGGTTGCATTTGCACCTGATTTTATCACATGTAACTTGACCAATCTTGGAACAGTCGTTGATGTTGCTGGTAAAATAAGTTTTTCTTTTTTAAAGTATATTATCTCTCATTCTTTAATTTAGCACATATTAATCATATAAGAAATATTGCTGGTATCGATAGTGTAGGTATTGGAGCAGATTATGATGGTATTAGTGAGTATGTATTGACTTGTTTTGATTTTATTGTTACATGGTTTTTATATTAATATTTTAGAACACCTTATGATCTTGAAGATGTCTCGAAGTATCCAAAACTAATTGAGTACTTATTATCACAAGGAAATTGGACAGATGATGATATCATTAAACTTATTGGTGGAAATATTTTACGGGTCATGGAAAAAAATGAACAAGTAAAACAAAATAGATTTTTATTTCAATACTATTTTTTATTTATTGACTTTTTTTTAAGATAGCAAAAGAACTTCAAAAGACAATGAAACCACAAGAAGGTTTAATAGATCGTAATGCATTGGAAAAATATAATCTGACACAATGTCGTAATTTGGATATGTATTCTAAAAGTAACTAATATGGTTTGTTAAATAATTGAATACAGAAAGACAAAGAACAATATCTGAGTTTTTAATAATTATATATTGGTATTGATCCGTTTTGATCCTAACAAGATTCGTGTTGGTTCTGATGATCTAGTTGTTTTTCTTTTAAATAAATAAATCGAAAATAGTTTGTTTTCATAGAAGAAAAGATAATACGTACCGTGGCAAAAGAAGACTAAAATGACGTTTATTTGTATGATTTAAAAATGATTGATCATCTTCATCATCAATCAAATGATTCTAAAAATAAAGATAACTATTATTCATCAAATAGATTAAATGAATTAATTACTTGTTTCATATTTTCTTTATTTTCATCATAATCGAAAGATTGCGTTTTATCTTGAATTACTAAATAGACGAAAAATAAAACAATTTTATTTGCAAATCTTTAATTTTTGACATACATGGTGGAATGCTTTTATCTTCTCGTTGTCTTAGTCGAATAGAACGTGATCGTGAACGAGATTTTGACCGAGCTCGTTTTAATTCTCTTGATACACGATGAAATGTAGCTTCCGTTTGAATAAGATTATCACTTAGACGACAAAGTTGTTCATTATGAATTTCTTTTCGACTTTGATATTTATAAGCAAAATGAATAAGAACTACTAAACAACAAGACCAATAAATCAAACGCCATTGATAAAAATTGAATATCTATGAAATTAAATTATAAGAAAAGAAGAATTTGATATTGAAGAAAATTTACTGATGACATTTGATAATAACGTTCAAGAAGAACATAAATAAACATCCCACAAAATAAAAAAGATCTAAATAGATGAAATAAAAGAATTTCATCAGTATAATCCTTGTTTTTTTACCATAATGTTTTTCGAAGATTCCAAAAGATAGGGTTATTTCAAAACGGAATAAAAAATAAGTTTCTAATTATTCTTGTAAACAAATGTGCGAATTAAAGGAGTTTCTCATGATGGTATTCTAATAACCTAAAATACTAAGAGTGTTTTTCTTCGATTGCTAGATTTACATTTTTTTGAGAAAAGAGAATGATTTGCTTATGAGATGGTGTAAGAATTCATTTTATAAACTAAAAGATACATAGGAAATAGAATTTCTTGTAAATGAATGATAAAAGAAGTCATAATATGAAATAGTAATCCTCATAATCGATCAAACACAATCTGAAAGTTTCTTATGTAGGATTCAAAACTCGTACTAGTAAAGTACAATTTACAAAAAACTTTTGTGACTTATCGGAAATCGTTTGATTGCTATATCTGAACTATCAAATAGACTTTTGTGAAAGTTAGGGAAATTTGAAAAGACTCTCCATAAAATATCTCAACATATATAATTATTTGAGTTAAAAAGTCAACAAATCATGATGATAGAATATTAAGTCTTTAAAAATAGTTGCTTATCAATCCATTTTCTATATATTCTGTTAATCAAAAAGGTTATTCGAATTGAAAAGTTTACTTCAAATGTTATGACAAACAATTCGGTTTTTGTATTAACCTTGCTCGATTGGTTTTCTTTGGAATTGTCATGATATAAATAGTAAACATTGATAGAGCATAAAACCAAAATGAATATGTGCAAGTTATTCGTACTATTGTTTGAATTGTTTGAGATAGAGCACAAATCTAATTATAATATGACATAAAGTTATTTATTTATTAATCATCTAACAAAAAAATTTTATCAAATGATAAATCACTTTTGAAATGAGTCTTCGTTCATGAAATTTTCATCTTGTGTTATACCCATTTTAAATTTCGTTATTCGAAAAAACTAATTTTGTTCTTATGTTCATATTTCAAGATAGAAGATATCAAAAATTCTGATATTTTCACAATGAACTAGTTCACTAGAAAAGTTTAGTTACACAATTTTTGAATTCGAAGTCCAAAGTTCGATTTCGTTGATGATCTGAAAACAAGTGCAGATTTTCATGAAAAATATCATGATAATGATCAGAACTCAACAAGAAAGTCTTAGAAATATGAATCATTTTAGATTTTTTTCTATTCTTAAGTAGGGTCTACTTAATGAATTAAGACTCATTTCAGGAAAGGTTGTTCATTTGATGAAGTTCCTTCGTAAGTGTTTTACTTGTTTAAGTAAATCATATTCATGGCGAGCAGCTTGAATAACATTATTGAGAATATCTTGGGTTTTATCCATATTTGTTCGAGCTAATTGTTTAAGTTTAATGGCATTATTAACAATTGTTTCTTGAATATATTGTTGATATTTGATTCTATCAGTTAATTGATGTTGTAAGTGAATAGATGAAATTAATTTAGTTATTGTTTCTTGTGAATTATTAAGAAACACTGACAAACGTGATGTAAGTTCTGATTGATAAGATTTTTGTCGAAGAACATAACAAACACTTTGAACAAATGGATAAAATTCAGTATAGGCTAAAAAGAATAGAAATAATTGATTTTTTAATTAAAATAAAACTGATTTTTTTTCTTTTGTTATCCACCAATAAATGCATTCATATGTTGATGAAGTTCTTCAACACATAATTCAATATTATTTCGATGGCATAAAATATTTGATAGATCATCATTCATTGTAGATAGATGACAAAGAGTAAATTGATAAGCTATTGTTGATTGATATTTATCGAGTTCATCAATTGAACAATATTTCTGTAACATAGTTAATACTTTTTGCCAACAAGATGATGTTGATGATGATGATGATGACGATGATAGTGATAAAATTTGTTCATATTTTTGTCGACCATTATCAAAGACATCACTGGAGGCAAATGAACTAATTATTAATAGCATTAGTAGTTTAAAAAAACTAGACATGCTGTTGATTTTTCTTTGTCTATAAAGTCCTTTTCTTGATTAAGTTTTTCTTTTTTTCTGATTACGAAAAAAAAAAATTTTTTTGTTTATTCTTCACACAAGACACGACAGACAAAAAGACAGAAAAAAAATAAAGAACATTTTCAATTGAATTAGATCCCATAACGTCTACACAAGCAGAACCGGTTTTACATTTTCAACATATATAATTACTTTTTTTTCTTTTGAATATATATGTATTACAATTATTCATGATTGAATCACACAACAGAAAAAAGAAAAGTGTTAGTAATATGAATATACACACGTTCGTAAGAATATTTATTTATTTATTTTTCTGAACATCTATTCTTGTTCATCGTCTTTTTCCTAAAATTAAAAAAAATATAAAATTTTTTTTCTGTTAACAAAATAAAAACGAATTCACAAATCTTACTTCAAGATCTTCTTCTTCTTCATTGTCACCTCCACTACCTTCCTCTTCATCATTGGTTGTTGCTGCCTATAAAATAATGTCTATTTTTAAACCAAAAAATAAAACCTTTGTCTTACTAAATAATATTGAAGAGGATTAACAAATATATCATCTTTAATAACTTCACCAAATTCATCATTGCCTGTTTCACCAGTTGTATCCGTAAACCAAGCCATAAATGCTCCATGTTCATTAGTATCATCATTATCATAAGAACGTTTACGTGTAGTTGATGTTGAATTATCACCATCAGTTTTTCTATTACTTGCTGCTTGACTATTTTTTGATTCCTAGAGAAAAACTTTATTGTTTGAATTTTTTTCTTTTGTCTAAAGATTCAACATACATTTTTCCATCGTATTGGTGTTGATTTACATTGTGTTTCACTAGATTCTGTAACACTATATTCTTTAACAATTACATCATTGTCAAAAAATGAATTTTTATCAAATGTCTAAAATGAAAAGAAAATTTTTTCAAAAAAAGAAAAAAATTAAAAAAAAAAACAACAGAAACTTACAAATTTAATACGATAACCTGATTTAATATCTTCGTGCTAAAATTGACAAAAATAATTTTTTTTTTTATTCGAAAATCTTATTTTTATTTATTTTGTATTGCTTACTTCTTCTACATCAACACGTTTAAGATATTGTAAAATATTTTCATCATTTTGATCTAAATAACTTGATAATTGAGGATGATTAAGAAAAACACTAATCCAAAATGATGGAATTTTACTAATTAAATCTGAACCTAAAAAAACAAAATGATTTTGTTTTTTATTTTCTAAAACAATCAAAACAATTAACAAACGTTTTTTATAATTTGGTTGACGAAGTTTATTATATTTTTGTTCAACTTGAAGAATTTCTTCACTTGCTTGTTCATTAAGACGATCAATTTCATTTTGTACATCACCAATCACTTCAAATGCTTTTTGCATTTCGGCTTCTACAAGAGTTTATAAGAAGGCAAATATGAATAATTTAATTCAGAAAATATAATAAACAATAAAAATTTTACCATCAACTTTTGCTTGTTTGGTATTTGAACCCGACATATTGAATGTAAAAACAGCTTTTTCTAATTTAAAAAAATTATAGTTTGAAACGTTAGAAGATAATAAACAAAGGAAACTATGTCTTTTTTATTCTTGTTGTGCAATTGATTAACCAATAGCAAAGTTAAATGGATAAAATTCGGCATTCTTTCTTGTTTTTTCATTGCAGGTTAGATTTGAATATAGCGACATCAAGCGGAATTTTTATTGACAATATGGTTTAGTTTTTTCAATAAAACAAAATACCATTAAAATTGAATTTTAATAATCTTTTGGATATTTTTAACTATCAAGAAAGCTGTACCATAGTCATCGGTTTGGTTTAGGTTTTGTTTAGCAAGGGAAAGAGTTAAGAGAGATAGTTTTTCAAAGCTGCAGAGCAACTATTCAATCATTATTTTGTTTTTACAGAAAAATATATTCTTAGTGAGAACTTTCAAATCTATCATTATCAATCATGAATACTTGTTCCTTTGTCTCGCTATTTCTCATATCAGTCAATTTGTAAAGAATTTTCTGATCAATGGAAACATGTTTTTACTACACACAAAGCTGCTTACATCAATAGTTCTAAAAGTAATGTTTTTTCTAACAGTTGTATGGAATTTTGTCTATTGTTCATCATTATCATCATTTTTGTTCATGTATATTTTGATATGTCCGTGGATGTAGATGTGAGTGTTCTATTACTTGTCATTTACACTCTCCATTAGTGAAGAAGAGAAACAAAATAAGCGTATTTAAAACTGTATTGCTTCACTCAAAAAATTGACCGTGTGTCGCCTATGGTATTCTACGAAAGTGTCATAAGCATCGTATTGGAACAAGTACATTATATCAATATTTTATGAAAACTGTTGGAAATGTCAGATACGATATTTATGGAAGACCTAATATCTACTAGTTAGTCACAATATGTTTAATAAAAGAACACTTGAAGTTGCTGTCTAGATATTGAGCTAGATTTCACACGTCATATTCTATAGTATCTATTAAACGAATTCTAGGTATGCTATTGATCAAATTATATTTTTCATTTTTGTTTTTTTCTTCTGTGTTTTTTAATATATTACTATTTAAAAGATGACTTGATTTAGTTTATCTTTGCAAAAAGACAACTAGTTTTCTTTAAATAATTGCAAACAGAAATTTTCTTTCACATAGGCAATCTGTACCATCCAACTACTAAAAATGTTAGTTGGTCTACAACAGAAAATTTGCAGGGAGAAATACAGAACGCAAGAAAAATTTAAGAGAAGAAAATTACTTTGCTTCTCCTGCTAATCGTATGCACTGTCTGTAGTATATCAAGGACAAGGTCAAGAAACGGATGTAACCAAACAATACTTTTGAAATCGATTTTATGTAATATTGACATGCTTTATAATTCTTTTGGCTGTGAAAAATGCTTGAAGAAAGGACATTCTCTAAATGTTGACTATCAAGCAGTGTCCTGCGGTAACGACCTTACTCGATTCTCGTTCCCATAATGCTTTCAGAATTCCTATTAGAATTTCATTTTTTATGTTTGAGAAAAACTATCAGTGTCACACACTAGTTTTTGTCAACGTCGCACTTTCCGTGATGTGAAACAACTGTAAAGTAAAAATAAAATTATCATTGCAAGCATATTTTAGTAAAATAAATTAATTATTATCTATATGTCGAAATATATCATAATGTTCAATTAAGAAAATTATTTCCTTCGTCAATAGAAAATAGAAAAAAAAATTATTAACACATCAACAACATGAATGAAAAACATTGCAAGGTAATCTGACTAATAATTCTTTCGACGATGATTATCATAAAGAAAATATTATTTGTGATAATTGAATTAAAGCTTAATGATTAGTGAACAAAAATTATCTTTTTGTTTGTTGATAGGTATTTGTTATCATTCTTTTTTGATTCATAAGTAATGCATAAGTCTTAAGAAGTATATCATATGGATAAAATAATGCAAAACAATACTCAGAGACGTCCATTTTTTAATATCACTCCTATTCTCAAAGTCTTGACAAGGATAACGGAAAAAAATTGTTCATATAGGACACTATTATCAAGTGTACTTAATCAGTTATTCAATTATTTTATCACTCTCTTATTTGTTGAATAATTCATTTTTTATGTATTCAATGATTATATGATAGTTTGAAATCCTTGAGAATTGTTCTTAATTATGCATCAATTATTCTTAATCTACATTCATAACAAGTGTACTTTTCTTTCACTAAATCCATGTTGAGTTCTTGCGATATTTAATTAAATTATGTTTCTAGTAGATAAGGTTTTTTATGGTATATATATATACCTTCTTCTGCTGTATGTACATATGAAATAACTAGAGAGTGTTTCTTTTTGTGTATTGACACCCAATCATACATATCTGTTGATTCGAATAATGAACGATTGTATTGCTTGTCATCGAGATTAGAGATTTATTTATTATTCAATACACCTACGACGAGACCGGAAATTGATTATATAGTCTCAACTATTCTATTTACTTTCGTCAATAGATACGAGTAAGCGACAAAAAAACAGAGATGTCATAATGATGATAATGAAGTATCTTCACATTTTTTTTAATCATTCTTTAACAATCGAGATAAATTACATTTACATAAAGATTATCGATAGTGAACAAGAACAGCGTTTTTTTTTTTATTATATATATTCAAATTCATTCAATTTTTTATTCTATGTTACTATTCAAATGAATAGAGAGCATTTTTTTCCTAGGGTTGAAGAATAATATCTATTATACATATCATGGTGACATTCATTGAAACTTATTTACTTTTTTTTTATATCAATAACGTCTGAATTTAGAGTGAACAATGAATGGAAATGTTTCATATTATTCCATTACATCGGAACAAAAAAAATAACATTTTTTTTTTTGATGACTATGACGCAAGGTCAATACATGTTTATACAGTAGTTTTTTTTAGTCTTTATAAAAAAAAATGATGAATAAAAAAGTCATTTAGATTCGTTTATTCGTGAAACTTTAACACATGGTCATTCATTCGGTTACAATAGACGAATGAGTTCATTTGCTTTTTTTCTTTCGTTCTTCTTTTTTTTATCCATCATAGTACACTCTGTCCTATTACCATCGTCCACTCGGTACCATAAGTTACCTTTTCTTTTTTTTTCTTTTAGTTCAACCGAACACATACATCAGTCAATAGTAGTCTCGTTGTTAGTTTTATCATATGTCTTGCTCTTTGTCGAACATTGATAATATGAATATGAATGTAAGTTTAGATGATCTAATATTAAATATTTTAGATGACATCAAATCTACGTCCGTCTTATAAAGAAGCACAAGAACGTCTTTTAAAATGGTGTCAAAATGTTACTAGAAATTATGAAGTATGATTTAAATTGTTCTTTTTTTGTTAGTCTGTTGTTTTTTTTATTAATAGTCAGTAAAAATACGTAATTTTACAAGTGATTTTGCTGATGGTCTTGCTTTTTGTGCTATAGTTCATCATTATTTTCCTGATGCATTCGATTTTAATGCCTTAAATCGTAATAATAAACAAAATAATTTTGATTTAGCATTTCGTATTGCTGAGTAAGTTAATTGTTGTTATTTATTTATTTATTTATTTATTTATTATAATTTTATATTTTATTAGAGAAAAAGCTCAAATTCATCCATTACTTGATAGTGATGATCTTGTCAATGGTGAATTAGATAAAAAATGTGTATTCACCTATTTACTTACATTATATCATGGATTAAAAAATCGAGAGATCATGACAAATAAACATTTATTAAATGAAAATTATAAGTAATTCTTTTTTCGTTTTTTGTCTGTTTAATCCGAAATAAAAAAATATAATCGTAAATTTTCGAAACATTTCTTTTTGGATTGAAATATTGATGTTATTACATTGCAAGAATGTGTAGTAGTTTCTATCAGATCTTAACTACTATAAAATACTAGATATCTAAAGATAAACATGGAATTACATAGTTTGCTAAGAATGTAGATCAAAGATACAATCTGATCTCAAATGCAAACAAAATTATGATGATTGACCAATGGATAGCATCTATTTTGATTTTGAACGTTGTAACTCTGGAAAACAAAGGTTTTGAGGATCAAATGATTTCTTTCAATGTAGGATTGTGTGTTTCATCTATTGATATTACTGATTTCATTGAAATTCATCAATATTTTGTACAACTGTAGTTATTTGACAATGGCTATTGGTGTGGAATAAAACTATAAACCTAGAATTCAATAATAGTTCAATAAATCGAGCATAGACTTTCACAGACATGATTCTTCTATTGACTAGAAATATCATACTAATGATTATCATAGAAATACTGAAGATTCAAAGTCATTCACATACATCAATTATTTAATCAAATGAATTCACCTTTTGAGTCAAGAAAGGCTATAAATTCGACTTCGATTACATGTAAACATATCAAGGATTAATGATGCATTCGATAAAAATTTGATAGACCGCTTTTGTACATGAAACACTTCGAAGCAGAAAAAAATGACCTTTATCATTCCTAACTTCATATTGAAGCAAACGGAATAAGGCCATGTCTCCGACCTACAATCTAGACACAATATATGTACATAAATGACAAACAACGATTAAGCAATGAATTATTCCTTGCCTTTGAAATTCGATTTGTTCTCACTAATTTTGTCATTGTCACTATTAGAAGCGTATTATCATCAAAGTTATCCCATATGACATGATCCTGAAATGATTAGTGTGGTATTCTTATAGCGTATGTTGGATTCATTCATTCATTTATGTTCTTAATCGGCTCATGTATATCGAATTGAAGTTCGTTTGTTTCTCTATCAAATGGCATATAGACATTGATGACAAGGTTATTTCATGATTTTCTTTCATATC